TGTGCCATACAAAATTTTATTATGGCACAAAAAACAACAGTATATGCACTATTCACTTAAGTAGACTACACACTTACATTGTATGGCATCACTCAACATCAGCATCAAATGCATCTCAAAATGCAAGGACATCGATTTTTGGGGTTTCCACCAGCCATTACTGATTTTGAAGCTGCGTCATGTCAGGCCACTGGAAGCAAACATGTTGAAAGATCTCAAAAAAATCTGTATTCGCGCGCTTCCTGATACCCTTGATAATTTTGAGCTATGATGAACAAGTGTGTCTAAGTTCATAACTGCAACATGACCAAGTGAAGATATCGCTGCTATAGCCGCTACAAAATTTCTAAAGACATTCATGAAATCAAATGTACGATTCCTAGTTCAGTGATGACAAGGGTGACTTTAGGCAAAACCCGAGCACACCGAAGAAGTGAACCGTTTCATCAACGGTGATTTGTTGGCGCAATGCGGACTGGCACCAAACAGACTTATACCTCTCGGCATCCTGCCAATGAACGACATCTCACGAGCTGTCGAGGTGTGTTTCCGTTGAACATTTCTACTAGACAGCTTTCTCGCTGTAGTGAAGAGAGAGTAGTAGTCTGCAACTTGTAAGCGAAAGCTTGTGACCATGGAAACAGGAAGGTTTGTTCTGACTTTCTTAATTTTTGTCAGCTAATGCTTTTTATTTCGTATCTGACATCATGTATCTATTTTCCGCAACCCTACGGAGGCAAAAAAAAAATAAAATTGCACTTGGAGCATTCTATATTGCCACAAACACAGCTTCAGAACTCGTCACTTCCTAAAACATTGGGATACGCCATGCATGTTTCCCATCCAAAACCGTAAAGGTTTTAAATTGGAGAAACTAAAACTCCACAGACAGCTGCACTCCATCACACCTTGGCAGAAAGACGCACTCTTCTTGTAGATGGGTCTTTTTGGCTTCATGATGTTTTTGTAGTTATCAAACTAAAGAAAAGGGCAGTATAACAAAATGAATAATTTTAAACTATTTCAGCATCTTACGAAAACTAGGTGATGCTTGGGTTTCGTGCAGACTTATCTATGAGATCAGAGTAATCGCTTCGGCTTCCTGGGTTAAGATATAATAAGTAGTGTCGAAAATCCTATGCTCAGCTCATTGCTGAATTCCACGGAGACAACCCTGCAGCGAACAACACTGGATGATCATGTGCTTGGCCCATAAGGCGCGGTTCATCTAAGTCAAAGTTATTTGGACTAAACTAAATTCCTCAACCGAATTTCGACTCTAGTGGGTGGGTTTCGGAAGAGGCTTGCTCGCGTTGACGAGACCCATCAATCCCTGAAGACTTGCCCTCCCGCGTCACACAGAAAGCGTTCCGGTTATGGTGCTGTTTCCACGCAAACCCTGTTCACCTAGGTATTACTATTAATGAATATTAATACATACCACAGATTCCCACCATCCACTTGCTTCGTGGTCTTCATTAAAATCTTTGGTCGAGCTTCGAGTGATCTCACGGCAGTTTCGCGACATCTAAAACACCCCTCTTTGTCCCTTTTCGCTCAACAAAACTCTTGAGTAAGAGTAAAGCGATGGATATGATCATGACCAAGATGACGAGTCTTTCCGAAGATGCTCGTCAAAGGGCAGTTTTACTATCTCTGCGTTTAGCCATCATTCTCTCCTAAATGCTCTCCAGGGAGGAAATGTTTGCGGCCGTCTGAGTTTGCTATGATTGAAGTGACTGGAGCCTTTTTTTCTTGAAATAATTGTTTTTACTGGTCGCAGTTTCTTTTTAATTCAGTCAAAATCCGAACTGAGTCAAGGCAGACCGTTGCCGTCCCTTCTCTGAGGTTGAGCGAAACGATTTAGCAGCCATGATTAGTATACGGGATAAATGTAAGGGGTAAAAAATCAGCAAAGTGGAATAAAAACACCCGAAAACCGGAAATGGGAAGATTTTCGGTCACTGCAATTCCTAACGACTGCATAGTGATTACTATTGTGATCAAATATCGGTGTCGTGTCGTTATCAGTGGTTTCGGAGATCTTTCGTGATCAAATGATGCAGACTGGCTGATATCCACTGCGTATTCCTATTCGAGAGATACTTTTTCGGGACATGGTACAGTCCCAAATATGCAGTGCGTTTCAATAGTCTTGAGGCACACCTAAAGACTGCTGCTTGCGATTAGGATTGAAAAGTCACGGCCCTGCCCTCTACTTTATTGAATTCGTGCTCTAAAACTGTAGTCCACTTCGTTTCAGGAAGCGATATCAGTTACAATCATTTTGTGAGTGAGCCTTCAAAAATGCCCTGTCTCAAAAGTGGGGTGTTTTAGGGGCCCTGACAAGATTCGACTGTAGTACATCTTCCTGTCAACTGTTTTGCGATTCCGTGGACATGCTCTGTAAAAGCACTACCTCTTGAGCGCCTAGGTGATCTGATGTTAGCATTCTACAGAGGACGCGTGTATATTTGGGACCTCGATGTCTCGCTAGCACACCTCAGATCCTGCGCAATATTTTGTGCTAGTCACGAGCATAGATGTGCCTTGAAGAATTCTGCAGATGTTTCCTATAGGATTGAGATCGAATTGCTTGCGGGCCAAACCATAACACTATTTTGCTACCGCTAAGCTACTGTATAGCGAATCGGCTGCACTTTATGGTGGCCTTGTCGTGAATAATGATGAAACTGCCAGAAATCGCTTGAAAACAATAGTAATGGTTAGCAGGAGCAACTTCATAGTCGTTATGCCTTCAACAGAGAGAGGGAAGTTTACGAGAGTAAAGCACAGCTGTGCAATACAGCCCAAACCATCCGGGATCTGCCTCCGAAGTTCCTCCAGCTAAAGACTGGTGGTTTTTTGGGATCCCTCCCTCAGCTAATTTCTATCCGCACGTCTCAATTAAACTTATTATTATCGGAAAATAACTCAAACTCAAAACAGCCTAATTCCCAAACCAGTCAAGGAGCTCTTACCGTGGACGCTCGTACTTGGAATTGATTTGGAGACTGGTATCCGATGATTGCTCTGAGCTGGAACTATCACCGAGAGCTTCAGCCCCATCCACTATCGGCCATATATTGGATTATAAATCTTTTTTTTTACCAACTCGGACCTCTTGATCTCTCAAGGATTGAATTGTTGACTTCACTGCATCCACCTTGGAGAGGCTCCGCCCACAGACTGAGTGTTTGGGACTTTGCTTTGCTACTTTGCTAGAGGCAAATGCGAATCGAATCATGAAAAAGTTGCTCACTTCCATTCGATAAAGATGATAGACTCATAGGTAGGATAAGGATAAAGGATAAAGCATTTGCCGTTGATCAATCCCTTTTTGGGATGCGGCACGCATTCTACTTCCATTTGTACATTCGTAGTGGCGTTTGAATGCGATGTGGCCTATACAATGACTTGCGGGGGCCAGCCGATGTACAAGTCAGTGTTTTTCCCAGACAAGTCTGGTACCAATTAACCGACCCCGGAGGGATGGAAGGCTTGGTTGGCCCGGGCGACTCACGACCCAGGATTTGATCCCCGGACCGCTCGCGTGGTAAGCGTGCCACTTGCCACTACACCACTTCCGCCCTAGACTCATCGGTATCTATTAAAATTCATGACTTTATTTTTTAATTCTAACTATTGCTAAAACAATTTAACTATTATACTAAATGAGCAGTTGAAATGCCGTAGTAATAAATAATCCGGCAAGGGTTCCCCATTTTGAATTTTGGGATGAAGAAGCGGCGTGAGGGTGGACTTGAAGTGACTATTGAGCGAAGGAGACGAAGGCAATTTGTTTATTTTTTTTCCTGCAGTCTTTCGAAGCCGGAAGAATCGCTCTACTCAATCATCCCACAATAACTTTACAGAGCGATATTAATCTTCATCTATCAACAACAATTCATAAACAAAGACGAAAAAATCTCTGAGACATTTGAGTGATCAAAAAATATAGGTACAAATCAATAAATAATATCGTTGTATCAGCTGTCGAAATTGGCATTCGTTCCAAAAATTTAAGTGAATCATTGGTCCTGAACACCTCCATGTGTTGATGAAAAGTGGGAGCTGATTGAGCAGTAATGAATTGGTGGGTAACGTGATAGTGGTACGCGGACGTCGGTGTGGGGTGGAGGCGCGATCAGGTCAGGTAAATACTGAGGTACATAGGTAAACTGGGTGAGGAGCACGGTTTTCTAGAAATACACGCATAGCGTTAAGTGGTCGATGAAAGAGCTGATCGAGACATTCGAGCAGAATAGTTGTGGTGACGTCACGGGGCATAATTAAGTGTTATCACTCATATCACACGGTAATTGGCAGTGAATCACGGGGCAAACCTGTAATGGTCCCTCACGAAGAGCTGAGCTACCTCACGATGCATTCGGTACCCGATAAGGCTAACCGTAGTCTGATCGTAGGTAATGGGACCAGTAGGCAATATTGAAAAGTGAGAAGAGTGAAGGGAAAAGTATAGCCGACAGCGTGTCGATTCGCTTTGCCAGTCGTTCTTTCCGATGATGTCTGTAAGAGGAAATTTTGTGTTTATTCATTAATTATATTGTGTCAATTTACTTCATTTGATTTGATTTTCAACTTCGTAAAGTGACGATATTCACAGCGAAAAGGAGCATAAGGACTGTGACCCGGCCACGTTAAACAAATTCGTTTAGACTGGAACGCAAAAAGTAGGTTGGGGAACAGCGCAGACGATTAATGGTAGATTAAGCCCGGCTTGATCAGACCTTTCTCCTCTATGCTCCCACCTTACTGGCTACTTCCAAATCGGCACGGTATTATAGAAACATAAGACCTGGCCGTCAGCAGGGTCAACCGTCCGTTTGGCAGAACTAAACGAATGGGGATGGGGTTGACGGGGTGGTTCTCATCCCAACTAAATCTATCCAAATTGATCCTGCTCCAGTCCCATTTGAGCATAAAAACAACTCCTCCCACTAGTTCGCTTAGTGGTACTTCTGAAAATATAGAGTGGGGTGTTGCTTCTCTCAGGGGATTTTTTCTGAAGATTCTACTGAATAACATTCCGAATTGAGCTGCTGTGAGGACCTGGGCGGAATTTCGTGGAATTCTTGATCAACCTACCGCGAACTAAAAGATGGTGACGCATGTACTGGCGAATGTGCATCGTCAACATCGGTTTGATATGACTGTTGGGGATCGCAGGAACATCTGAAAGCAGCACTTTATGATGTCGCTCTATTAAACCGTAATTTAATGGGCTCAAGCTCTGGACGTAAGCTCCCTGCTCACCTTGCTCCGAGCGATCGCATGGCGTTGGCGATATTGCCGTTGAGGCCGAATCCCGGTGGGATATAGCCGTAATCGTTGTCGCGGAGCGATATTAATGCCGATTCCTCTTCATTGGCCGGATTCCTTCTGAAAGAATCCCCGTTTTTCTCGGCGTCTATGTGGCTTATCTCAGATCTGCTCTCATCGGCGCGTCATACTACGCGAGATGAGCACGAGTCAAACGGCTCCGCACGGAGAGATAGTTTCGTAGTCCCGTGAGGATTTCACGCTCAGCTCTGCGCTACTCCGAGGTTGGTTACACACAGCTTTGAGCTCATAGAAGTACAACGAGAGTTTAAGAGGAGACCACATTCACAGGTTTAAACGAACCGATGCAAAGTGCTGGTGGCGCTATGGACCTGAAGGCTTGGCGTCGGAGGAGCCACCGGAGTAGTCTTGTTCAGCGTCAATGGCGGGATAGCGAGCGCCTTCGACGGTAGCGCTGGTGTCGATGGTCGCGGTGTGCTGGGTGTTTCGTCCTCTCGTGACAAATACCCGACCCAGGCGAGTTCAAGGAGTGAGCAGAACACAAACGTCATGCATGAGAGCATCCACACATCGATGGCCTAAAAAAGAGAGTCAAAGGAGCTATCGAGAATGATAAATGGAACTGCAATTGAATGTTAAAATAAATGGCAGAAACAACTGCGGATAACAGGCCAGTCCCTTGAGGGAGAGCGGCTTTTTCCAACCTCACGGGAGCGAGTGAGGATCAATAGCGTGCTAAGCTCAGCTTTGGATCCCATAACGTTAGGCAACTGGGAGCTAAGGGTTCGAACTGATAAGTGATTTCAACAGGCGGGAGTGGTGCCGTGCCGGTTGGTGCCGCTTACCACTCACACATTCTGAGAATAAGTCTGGGGTCCAATCCCACATCTTCATTTAAGCCCTAGCAGTTTACTGTACAAGATCGGCTCCACGGGCCAGACTCGAGTGGTAAGATAAAATCGGTGACTTGTACGTGGGCTGGCCTCCCAATCTCTTGTATCCAGTGCTTTCTAACACTGCGATTCTGAATGGGAGCAGAATGTGGCATGCACATGCGGGATCACTGCGCGTCCGATCGGCCACTAATGCTTTTCCTTTCATCTTTCCGCCAAGCAGCACTGTGCAAAACAACATGGATCAAGTTCCTAATTTCAAGTCGACCTCCTCGCCTTTCTTAATTTTGACAGGCCTTTTCTCCGCGGGTTAGGACAAGCGGTATCGGACTGGAAAAAGAATCACCGAATTCCACAGCAGGCATTCATACTTCGGGTGGAATACGCTTTCACTATGCGATAATGCTTCTGAAATGGGGTGGCATGGGTGGCGCGATCGGACTGCTCATCGCTTTAAAGCGCTTCAGCTTCTATGGTCTGCCGTCAATCAGCTGAAATCCCTAGATATTGATGTTTACTTGCTCGCCCGTCATTAACTATGAGAAGTAAAGATGAAGTAATATAGCATTGGTTTTCTCGAATTCCATTTCTTTGGAACTCCATGCCTCAGCCACTTTTTCCTGACATCACTCATTAAAGATCAATATTTACTACTCAGCAATAGAAGGCCCCCGATGCAGCGGTTGCTAGGATAATGTCGAGAATTGTGTATAGTACCTGAATTCCATTTGGCTACAATTTGTTTTGTAGTAGCAAAATGAACAACAGGCGGGTAATGAGGCTAATCCGAACTAGAGGCGATGTTTTTTCGACCAGTTAATGACTCACAGGGACTTGAACCAGACTTGTACCGAACTGAATAATCCATTGGGAGTTTTCATGACATTTTTGCCTTCCATTCAAATACGTTAGTTCGAAATGCACCGTGGGTGCGAGTTCGGTAAGCGGTTAGCAAGCATTATTTTTGGATCGAATCGAACAGACAATGTTTCCATGAGTCCTGGTTAAGAAGAGGCTTTGGCACAGCAGGTTGGGACTGATTAACCCAAAATGATGTAGCCTGCACCCATGGTGGGCTTTCAGTTTATTCTGTTTGTATGATGAAGACAAAAATATCAAGAAAACTCAAGGGGATACGACTCGGTTCAAGTTTGATTGAAGGCTCAAGTATGAACTCGTGATATCGTCCAGAAAACATCGTCTTCGGTTTGGATTAGCATCCTTATCTGCTTTTCATTTCGTTGCTATAAAACAGTCGTGGCCGTATGAATGATAAATGGACATCGTGTACACATGCTCCCCAGTTTTTCTAGCAACGGTTTGCATTGGGCGCTTGAACAGCTTTGGTCAACGACGAAAGTCATGCTTTCTGGATAACTAGTATGATCATATAGCCATCAAAATTATACTAGAGCATAGCACAGATACGGTATTCTACACCAGTCCCAATTCAAAATAGCAGTGAGTGGCTCTACGATGACCTGTGCGCGTCAGCCGATGTACATAGTCTTACTCTATTCTATCGTTTACACCATGACATGGCTATAGCGGAGTTGACGGGATAATCAAATATGCTTTACTTTAGCGGGCGTTTTTCAACTTACGAATTTTTCCATTTGTTCATTTTTCGTTTTCTCTATAAGCTGATTAACATGTACATAAAAAAGAGTAGTACCAATAGAAATAAATACAGACATGTATCAGCGGCAAGATATACAGGGGTGGCCAAAAAAGAGACACTTCACATTCCAGACGACATTAATCACTTTCTGCTCGATTTGAATCAAATGCTCCCAACTCAATAGTTAAGAAGGAGCACATCCCAATCCATCAATGGAAGTCACAATGCTTTCTGCACCAAGCACATCACAAGAAATAGCAATTGTAAAACTGTACACGTTCGAGCTCAACGGTACATGGACCATTATGACTATCTAAAACGATGGTCAATAGTGGTCTTGCAAATTTAGAGCTTAGGTCCCTAGAAAGTAAAGAAGTGATTACAGTAGACCTACTTGAGCTCGG